ATAATGTCTGTGTGCACATTAAAAAATTTATAACTTTATTTGTATTTGCGATAGAAATAATTTGTAAAAAGGATTAGAAAGAAGTAAATCTATCTTTTTTAAGGTTTTATTGAAATTTTATTGAAGTTTCCACATGTCCTCCATCCTTAGCAATACACAGGGTAATACGATTTTGCAGTTCACGGAAAACATTTGCCAACTAATTTACAGTAATGCCTGAATTCACATTAGTTATTTTAGCTATACTTAAAACTAGGGACATTAAACTTTATAACATTTTTTACAGATTATTTCTATCGCAAATACAAATAAAGTTATAAATTTTTAAAGTGTGCACGAACTTTATGGACACCTGTATAATTTCTATTTGAAATACACCAGAGTATTTTTTGAAAATAGTAAATTTGATTATTTAGCGTTCAATTAAAGCTAAAATGAAAGCTTGCTTTTTCATTTTTAAAAATTCATTTTAAACCTTGGGTATCGAAAATTCAATAGAGGTACCTATACGAAATGATATAGTAAGTAACATGAATATAAAAATACTTATCAATAACTCAAAAATACAATACCATATATGAGGGTTGTTCAAAAAGTTCTAAGCTTCACCAAAAGGAATTGGAAAAACAAAACATTTTTTCACTATTTTTTCAATATAGTCCCCTTAACACCAATACGCTTCGTCTAATGATGTTTAAGCACTGCATTTCCATCATGGAAGAAAATGGCGTCCTGTTTCTAAAAAAAACTCCTCCACGGCACATAAGATCTTATCATTGTTACCAAAATGGCGATCACGCAGAAACAAGAGAAAGTGATATGGAACTAAGTCTGGTGAATAAGAGGGGATGGGGTAGCAATTCAAAGACACGGTTGGCTGAGTTACTCTGAGTCGTAATATATATATATATATATATATATATATATAGTAATGCTAAGACATTATTTACGAGGGTCGTTCAAAAAAGTTCTAAGCCTCACTGAGAATGAGTTGGAGAAACATGACAGTTTTTCACTATTTTTCAATAGAGTCCCCCCCCCATTTCTCTTGACATCAAAGCACTTGGTCCAGTGATGCTTAAATATTGCAATCTCATCCCAAAAAGAAGGTGGTGTCTTGGTCCTCCAACATCTCCTCAGCACTTTGTTTCCAAAATGGCGATCAGGCAGGTAGAATTTGAGTTTAGGAAATAGGAAGAAGTCAGATGGAGCTAACGCTGGAGAGTAAGGAGGATGAGGTAGCAATTCAAAGCCACAATTTTTCCGAATATATATAGAATAATAATAAAGAGAAATCCACATTGATTAAGAAAAAAAATTTTTTCAAATTCGTAAAAAAAGAGCATTTTGACATAAGATCCGAATTTCTTGAAGCTCGGATCTTATGTCAAAATGCCGTCTAAATGGAACTTCTCGGTCTTTGAAAAAGATACTTGCGTAAAATTTGGTTTTCAAATTCGTAAAAAAAAAATAAGCCCCCGTCTTATAGTCTGAAATAAAAAAAAGAAAAAAAAAACATGAACTCCGACGAAATAAAATCGGGTGAAGGCAGAGGGGTGTGTTTAAAAGGAATACATTTTTGGGATGTTTTTTTTTTTACCAGTTTCCTACTAGAACTGAATCTGGAGCTTGTTTAAGATTTTTTTAAAAGTCGAATTGCTCTAAGCACCAAAAGGATTTTGGTGTTTAGATATTGCGATATCTAGAAGTGGTTTAGATGACATTCTGCT